GTTGTCAAAAAAAGATACTGTCAGGTGATCACGGCATATTTATGCCATTTTCCATTTATCTTTATTTATTCTCTTTTTAAAGTTTTGGTCTGAATCTACTGTGAAGACTTTTTGACAACACCTGGGTCTGCCGTTATTCAGACACTACCTCCTCAATATAGCTACTATTTTTTCGTATTCTTCTGATACTGCAACAATGGTATCAGGACCAATAGATCTGAGTAATAAAGTTTTTAAACTAATGTGTGATTTCTTTAATTTGTTTTTTCAGTATTTGGGTTGGAGATTACCTGTCCTTCTGGTGTATTTAAACCTAAAATTCTGCCTCAAGCCTGGATTAAATAATATTCTTTTCTAAATCTTTATTCCTATCAGTTATGAACTGCTGATCATGTGCCTCTGAATATGACCATACCCCATTACTAGCATTGTGCTTGAAAAGTTTTAGAAGAGTCTTTTGATTTGAGAGTCACAGATGAATTTTCTTAAATCTAGACCAAACCTCACTTCTTCTAAAAAAAATCCTATTTAATTTAAAAGTGTGATTCCAAAGTCTTACTTTATCCCTACCCATTCTAAAGTCAAAGGGAAGGTTTTATTGGCTAATAAATCTTTTTTTATTATGTTTTCTACATCCAAGCTTGACTTTTTTTTCTCCATTTGGGATGCATATTCTACATAATTTTGGGACTTTTGAGCTCATTCACGTGATATCTATCAACTTTTCAGTTCTTTCAGTCCTAATAAATAGTACTCAAAACTCTCATTTGTTCCTCTTACATGCAAATTGTAGTCATAACCTACTTTCATTTTTGCTTTCTTTTTATCACTCAGTCCAAGTGAATGGTAGATCCATCCAGAATGAATCATGAGTATAAATATTTTTTGAAGCTGGTAGAAATTCTTAAATTCCTTATGTACTTTATAAAGATGTATTCCATTTGTCTGAATGAGAAAAGACAACTAAGCTTCTGCAGGTATATAGGTATTTATGTTGGAAGGGAAATTGGATTTTTCTAGCTCAAATTATGAGACTGTAAAGGTTCACTAAGAAAAAAATAAAAACAAACCTTTTAAGACTGAAGAGAAATTTTGTCTCTCTCAATACCCAATATAGGCCCATTTAGATACCTCTACCCCAAACACAATTATCATAAATTCAAAACCTATTAAAACAAGAGTCAAGTTAAAATTATTGATAACAAATCTGGCTGATGGAATTTTAACTCTGAGCCAGGAACTTTGCAGAGAAATAAGGAGCAAAAACAGCAAGTCAAAAACCTTACTGACTGGACAAACACTTTACATAGACTACAAAGAAGACAGGATACTGTGAAAAGCAATGATGTGATCAGTTGTTTTGGTCGTAGAGATTTTCCGCTATATAATTTTCTGCGCTTGATGAAAGGACTAATATTTAAGGGCTCTGGGGAAATTTCAGTGAGGAACCTGAAGAAAGTCTGGAGGCTTGGCAGACCTCTCAAAAATGCTTTAAACTACTTTAGGTATTTAAGATATGGTTGTATATATTGCAAGAAAAAAATGGACAGCTGAATTCAAGTTATTGAATATAAGTTGTGAAAGACAAGTGGTGAAGCAGAGTTACAAAACAGTCTTATAGGATATTGTTAAAACATGGGTTAAATTGCTTTCGTTCTGCTTCAACCATTGTAAAGGAAACTATATAATTGTAAATGAATTTTAAAGATGGTGATTACAAGTAGAAGGCAAAATACATTGTTATTTTTTCTTCTCTCTCTTGTCACTCATTCTTATTATATACCTTGACAGCCTTTCAGTTATGGTATTTATACTGTGCGATGTGTGTCAAATATTTCATGCTTCAAGGCATACATATATGTCTGAGAGTATTTGTACATGATTGTATCAACCTGTAGATTCAGCATCTTCATATCACCATACGAAGGCAGTGTTGCTAAATGACTGTTGTTTTATGTGCATTGAGATCCCCAAAGACTGCAATGACAATATCCTTAATTTAGGTTAATTTTAGATTTTCCACTAGAATAATTATATAAGGAGAGATATCTCTGATACAGAAGTGAAATAAAGAAATAGCTGTTACACTGAAATGAAATTGAGGTGCTGAGGTCACACATTGCATGCCAGATAAAGCCCTAGCCATTTACCATGGAGGCTTGCTGCCTACATTCCAGTTAGAATTTAGATTAACAATGTGGGATTCACTTCAGATAATTTTGGTAATCTGAAACTGACTTTCTGAGGCAGCAACTGCAGCTTCCCTTTGTAGTCAGTTTTGTGCAGAGAAAGAGAAGCACCTTCAAGGATGTTTCATTCCATATCACCGGTGAAGTCTAGGACAGATGGAGCGATTCTCCTTTTTGAAATGTTATTCTCCCTTCACTGATGATACAGAGAATCTATAGGACTGAATCTTAAGCATAGGTGTTTAGACAAGTGAGGTTAGATAAGATGGACCCCTTCTTTGTCCTAAGGATCCAGCTCTAAGCAGCTTTGTCCTTGCCCATTTAAGGAATTAGAAAATAGGTGCTCCTCCTTGGCACCATTGCTTAAGGTGTTTTCTGGGCAGTGTGGACAGTGTACATGTTGTTAGAAGCATTGCTTCCTACCATTGCTTTTTTCGTTTTCTCTTTCTTTTTTTAATTTGAATATGTGTCACTGTTCAAAAAAGATTTTGAGGTCAAGGAGGAGAGTGCAATTACCTGAAACACTTCCCCTGAGGGAGGGGATATCTGGAGCCCCAAATCCAAAGATAGTGTCTGTATTTTGCACTAAGAAGCAGTTTATCAAAAATGAAAAACAATCATTGAATAAGGAATAATCAGTGGGAACAGTCCAGGTTCTCTTTTTATTTTCAAAGAATTAAGAGTAAATTAAAGAGTCAGGCTCCTGCTCGGATATCCAGTTTTAAGAGGAGTAGGCAAAATGTACCCTCCAATTTTCCCTGAAATAGTCTGCACCCTGGTAATTTGTGTACTTTTTGGGTATGTGTGCAGTGTGGTTTTCAGTCTCCTCAGCTCGTGATAGAAACTGTGTGTGCCCCACTACATCTCAGATGAGAGCTCCGGCTGCCAGTCGACTATTAAACAAAATAAAATACAGGCATCAAGGGCTCTCCTCCTTCTGGGAATGCTGGCTACAAGAAGCAAGTGGATCTACCTCCATTCTTGTAACAAGCAGACGAGAGCCCCTTCCAGCAGCAAAGGAGTCCAGGTTTGGTTCCCTTGAGTTGTATCCACTTGACTGAAAGCTGCAGGTGGCCAGGTACATTCAAAGAAATGTTGTTCACAACCTTGACTCCTAACTCAAGGCTCTTGCAGATACCCTTTTAAGCACCTCAGTGCTTTACTGTTTCTGTCTCACACTTACGGCCCCAAACCAGTCAGTGTCTAGGCTTATGGAAGCAGGTGGATGAAAAAGGTGCAATGGGGCAGAACAAAACCAGGGAGCCGATGTAACACTGAAATAAGCATTTGTACAATACAATAAATGAATTGTGGTGGACAAAAAATAAGCACTGATGATCTACCTTAAAAACCCACAGGTCTACCACTAATCAGGCCTTGCTCTGCGAGCCTTTTGAAAATGAAATGCAGATTATCCTGATTATAGCAACTGTTGGCAGGGAAAAGTACTAGGTGGTGTGGGTAGGAGAGTGAGAACTGTGTGGAGGCCATGCATGTAGCAGAATTCAACAGCGACATTCATATGGATATCAAGAATATTCAGCATTATCATAATTAATGGTGAAAAGGAATTGTGGAAAGGACGTTAAATCTTGTGCTTCAAGGACAGACTATAACAACAAAAGACCAAGTGGAAGCTTAATAAGGCTGTGTAGATCACCCCATGTCTTTTGCTACAAGAACTTTACATTTTGTTCTGAAGTATCTGATGGTGGCCGGTGTCAGAGATCAGATACTGGACTGGATGGATCTGCTGTCTGCTTTTGTCTGATAACCCAATTTATAAACGCTTTTAAAAAGTTGGTGACAGTCAATGTCTAGATTCTTTTAACAATGTATAAATTTAGCATCCTCCTTCTGAATTAGGCATTTTGGGTGACAGAGTTAATGTTATATCAATTCGAAGAAAGAAACCAGGGTAAAATAGAAGGGGAAAAGATTAATATTTGAAAATTAGAATGTAATTTGCAGTAACGCAGGTGGACGGCTGGTTCAAAAATGTATAAATTAAGACTGACAAAAAGAATCCTCTTCATTAGGAGGGAATTATGAAAGATATAATAATTCACATTTTACATAAGTGACATCCTTTTTACATTTTTTCCTTTTTTCACTAGTGGTTACATGCCTATAAGCACACAATTCAAGGGTCTATTGCTTTGCATTGATATTGCTGAGGACTGTCAGCACTCAGCATCTCCCTTCAGGTGGTTGTCTTTTAGGACCTGGCCTTTGTGTTCAAAGGCAGCAAAGCAACAGAAAAAAATGCACTGGCTGCAGGGAAGCAGGATTCATTCCTACCGGACAGGCATAGCTTAGCAACAGGATTTATACTGTGTACATGCAGCAAGACTCTTTTGATTTATTTCAAGTAACAAAGACGCCTTTTTCCTATGATCTCTGTATACACACATTTTTTTGAAAAATATAAGCAGCAGAAAGAGCTAGCCTCCCAAACACATATATCCTTCCAGACCCTTGCCTGACCCCAAAGTTACACTCTCCTGTCACTGACCCGTCTAATCACCTTTGTGTCGCTTTCTCAGAAAAGGCCTGAGAAAATCCATCACCTTTGCAATGTTATCTGAAGGTCAACACATTTTCATTTTCTGGGCTAATTCTTTCTTTGACCAAGTCTTAATATCAGGTCATTCAAACAAGCTACATTTGCTAAAGTTGCTACCTTCAGAATTTCAAACAGCATTCCAAATTTTGTGTAATTAATTAGCTATCTTCTTTATACCTAAGTCTAAAAGGAATTAGAACACTAATTTCTGCAGAATAACACAGGAAGTTTCTTTTTTTTAACAGCAAAGAAGAAATATTGGCAACATCTGACAATGGCATATGGAATAATTCAAGGACTTCAGGTACAGCACCCAGTTTAATTAGTTCTTCCTTACTGCACATGTTAATTATAAAGATAGTGTAACAAACAACCTCATGGAAAATATTCAAGTATATTTTTGTTAACTCTTCAGAAACAAACATCCCAGAGATTGTTTATACACAAGTGGAAGACAAAGACACTGAGCCAGCTAATGAAAATATAAAAGGTAAAAATGCAGAATACAACCGGGGTGATCATGGAGATGATGAAAAAGAATTAGAGTTGCTGGTAAGTGTTATACAATTATATCTACGGTATTAAATGATATGAATCCATTTACGCTTCAAAGCTAGTGAAATGTCCCCTTTTAAGAGAGCTGACTGATGTACTAATTTACAAATGTAAAGCCTTGGTCTGTACTTTCATTGAATCTCTAACTGATTCAACAATAGAAGGTGCTTTGATTTCAGTATACTGCCTCAACTTTTTCTGGTCTTAAATTAATGACTTCTCTCTCAGTTCTTTACCAGAGGCTCTAAGTGACAGTTTGAAGGCATTAGAAGAGTAACATTTCAAAGATCCCTCTTCCTACTCTCTAGGTGGATATATTCTTAAATACATGCTTTATATTTGGAAAAAAAAATCATTTATGGCACTGTTAGCCTTTTGGATTTTTCAAAGGATAACAATATAATGTGCTATATGAACAAAATAAATATATATATATTTATACAGCACATTTTTCTAAATCAGCATTTGGCATTAAATTTGTTACAATAAATTTCACACTCAATGAACATTCAATCTATTTGGATTTGTGCGTGTGCATGTGTGTGTGTGGTTTGACTTGCATTTTTCAGTATAAAAGAAAAAATGGCAATAAATGAGACACATAGCAATCTATTATTCTCAGTGTCTATTCTCAGCTCATATCATTTGGGTGCATGGATTCATAATCATAGATTATAATAGCTATCACCTGTGAAAATGTGAGCACTGAATGAGACAGGAGGGGAAGATGAGAACCATTCTTTTTTTCTTCTTGATAGAGAGGGAAAGAATATTTTCCTCTTATTTAAATAAAATTTTCTTGCCTTTTACTTGAAGAAAGTTCAGAATTGTTAGCAATTGTGGGAGCTTTCACTGCCTGAAAGTCAACATCTCCATTTTTTTCATTGGTGAAACATAAAAGAGGGCACCTCTAAAATCACTTGTTTTTTCTCAGTCCACCCTGCTACAAAAAGCAGGATCAAATATAACTATTTGTTTATCAATTGCCAGGGTTGTCCTTACATTAAATGATGGGGGAGCTATAATTTAGATGTTAATTTGCACTATGCGCTCTTTAATGAATTAAACAATGAAGGCTTATAATAGATGGAAATAAAACTGAATCTTTGAGACGCACAGGCATTGGCTCACAAGACAGCTGTGCAGTTGACAAGTAACATGAGCCTTATGTGAGAAGAAGGGGAAATCGTAAGATTTGCATATAATTATTGAGATCATGCAAATGTCAGTTATGAGGAGGGGAAAAAAACACAGGCATCTCACTGTTAAATCCTGACAGTTGGCATCACCGAAGAACTCAAATACAGTTGAGCACTGGTTGGCAGAGGGTCATTAAAACAGAATTTGCAGAGACATTAGCTCCCTCACTTTTCTTTGAGTGACGTTTTACTATTAATAGTTTGCAGAGGCTTTGCAGAAAACATATTAATAAGAGAAACTGTAATGGGGGTATCTACAGCAAGTGCAAATGTATAAAAGGGTGCCCAAGAAGCTAGCCTCTAATTGATCAGCTAGTGCTATCCCTGTGACTATGCTAAAGCGAGAGAGAGTGCAATGACAAGCAGGCATAGCTGAATAATACAATATGATATTTGAGGGCTGGGAGGGAGAGTGATTAGTTTCTGGCCTTTTACTTCACTAATCTCATTTCCAACTCATGTCTTACCAGATTGTCTAAAAACAGTCTGGTTTGAAGCCTGTAAAATGGTCCCTGAGAGAAATGAAGCAAAGATAATCCTTACAGTATTTGTCAGTGTGAAATGTGTCTTTGTTTTACTGGACAATACTGTACGTTACCAGGCTTTGATGTACGGTATCAATGCCCTCATTTAAGCACCACCCCCCCAAACCCACCCCCCACCTCCTTCTTCCCAAACCTAGAAGCGAATGTGTATAGAATGAATTAGCTTCCCTTTAAGGGAATATTCTCTTTAGATTTAATTTGTATAAAATGCACTAGCAGCTTACTGAACTCATGAATAAAAAGAGAGGGTTCTGAATTCTACTTTATTTCCTGTTCTTTTCAGTACCACCATAAAGCTCATTACCTATGTTAAAAAATACATACAATGCAAATTTTGCAAATGGTTTGGAACATGTTTCTATAAAAGCTTTGTTACTAAAAACAAAACTTCCCATCACAAAATCCTACCCCATTCATTTGGCATATTTTTATAAAGTGCTTTTTGATCATTCTTTTCTATTCTATTGTTTCAGCTAAATCAGCACTTCACAGGAGCTAGAGGTACCTCTTCCAGAGATGAAAGGAATTTATACACAACAGAACCAGTTAATTTTCCAAATGAAACCGAAGAATTGGAGAGAAAGCTAACCTACAGAGAAACGAGCAGTGACTTGCTGAGGCACCCTGTGCCTATCAGTTCCTCATCTGAAAATACTTCACAAGAGACAGGAGAAAAATTAAATGATGACAGAAAGTATCCCATAAGAGATTATAACAGTCAGTCATCAGTAAAGGAAGTTACTGCTGGGTCTGTAAACAGCACCAAGCAGTCTTTGGAATGTACTGGTGCCAGTGAAACCCTTTCATCGGCAAAATATTTTCGCAGAACAAAGCAGAATGAGGCTACCAATATTGCGACTACTGTCTCAAGCTGGCAAGGAGAGAGCTACACAGATATTTCAGAAGGTGAAACAGAAAACGCCTCAGGAAGCAAGATGATGGAGAGGTTATTCATCAGTGAGGATGCTGCTGATCCCTCCAAAGAGGCCCATGAAATGCATCCAGAAACCATTTCTTTGGAGCATGATGAATCAGTGCAATTAAATGCGCGCATAACAGAAACGCTGGATGGCAATGCTAATCCAGCTCCAGAGCACCAGGCGACGCAAATGCCTCACCAAACTCTGGATTCATCGTTGTCAGATGCTGACAAAAATGAAGGAAAAATCAAGATGATTGAAAGCGAAGTTCGGGGACATTTAAGAGGAGATTTATATGCAGACAATTTGGCACATTCTGATGTCTCAATAGATTCCACAAAAAGCCAATATACACACAAAAAAGTAGGTGGTGAAATGTCCCAGAACTATAACACTGAGAAAGAAAAAGAGAAGAAAGTCATCGAAGTAGCAGACTTAGCACTAATCGGAGAGGAGGAAGTACCCATGCCTTTTAAGTCATATAGAAAACATACTACTAAAACATTCAACACAACATTTCTGTCAACTGAAGACAACCACTATGCACCCAGGCCTGCACAAACAGATCCTCTGACTTCCTCTCTGGCTGATGAAAGAAGACTTGAAGACACTCAAGAACACAGAGGATTCACAAGGTTAAAAGATAGAGGAAAGTCAGACAACAAAAATCAAGGGAGAATGATAGAAAAGGAGAGTGAAGCAAACACACCGGAACAGATAAGGGAGCAAACAGACAGTGAGGTTAGGTGGGATATGAGCAGTAATACCAGGTTTCTGAATATTGCTTCCACAAAAGAATTGTTTACCTGCCAAGAGACAGAGAGTTGTGAAAAGTCTTCTGTCTCTGAGCATGGTATTACAGAGAAAGCAGAGGCAGGTACAGCTTATATAATTAAAACAACATCAGAGAGTGCTCCAGAAAAAATGTCTGCCAGTGAAAAAGCGGTAATTGCTAAGCTACCTCAAGAGACTGCACTAAGTGACAGGCCCACAGAGGAAAAGGAAACAGCGTTTGATACACATGAAGGGAGAAATGATGGTTCACATTATGCTCTTTGTCAACTCAACACAGTGGGTGTATTATATGACACTGAATTTGAAAAGGAATCAGTTTTAGATATTTATAATGCACGCGTACATGAAACACTGCAAGGAGAAACGATGTCTGTATGTAATAGCAGGGAAAAATTTGCCAAAGCAGAGCCAGACATTGGCAATATCCTACCTATACAGCAAGCAGTAAGGGCTTCTGCTGCAGCAAAGAAGGAAGCTTTGGTGCAGGGTTTAGATTCAGAAGAAGCATCTAAATGTCCCCTGGGTGTCCAGAAGCCTCTATACAGCAAGGAGGCAAAAGAACGCATGGAGGAAAGCTATGCTGGAACACTTTCCTACCCCTGTGCTAACCTTGAAACAAAAATGCCATCTTCTGGTGCAAATGCTGTGCCCATTTGCCATTATAAAAGCTCTTCTGTGACAGCTTCTACAGAGTCCACTGAGGCAGGAGAGCATCCATACAGAGACTTTGAATTTGCAGCCATTGACAAGGTTGCTGCTGAGTCAGGATATGATTCAAGTCTACCAAATGAAATGACATGTATTAATAAAAACCTCTCTCCTGAAGCTGAAAGAAAAGAAGTTCCTTCCAGTTCAGACATAGGGATCTCTAGAGAAGGTAGAGGGAGGAATATAGGTCAATGTTTCCATCAAGCAGAGTTCAAACGAGAGAATTCATTAAGGCCAGGAGTTTTAATTAGTGAACCTACTCAAGAAGTTGAAGGGGCAGGCTCTGAATCTGACAGTTTGATAACTGAGGGGAATACTCTGAACTGGCTTGATGACTCAGAGGATGAAAAACAGCACATTTCTGATTCTGCAGCTATTTCTCACCAGAAGAATGAAGAACATGGAATACCTAGTGAGTCTCCAGCTTTAAAACATATTGGCTACAAAATCTGTTATTTCTTTTTCTTTCTTGTATTTGCTGCAACACTCTACCACTATGATTTAATCGTTTGTCTTGCACTTTATCTATTCTCCCTGTACTGGCTATACTGGGAAGGAGCAAGAAGCAAGGAGATTGTCAAGAAGGAATAACACTGATCATCAGAGGTGCTTAAGATCCATTGCCAATAGTCTCCGACTTCTTCCAAACATTTTCACTGTTAAAGGGCTTTTTCATTGTTAGAACCAAAGCAAGTTTTCCACTGAAGCATCTTTTTAAAAAGATTACATATGAAACTTAAGCTTTCATATGAGTAATTATTCTATATAGGACCATTATGTTTGGATCATTAAATACCTATAGGAATATGAGATCCGAAGAACATCAAGTTAAAATGAAATACAGCTGTTGCTCCTTAGCAGACTATGAAGATGCAATGCTTCATATCTCTTTAGCACTTAAAAACATCATTTTTTCTGCATTAATTTCTTTTGCAGTAAAGCTTCATATTTTTCTGGGAGTTTTTCTAAGGGTTTGTGTAGTAGATGACAACACAAGGAATGGCATTGTAACTAACAGTATTTTGATACTGACATTGCAATTGATCTGCTAGTGTAATTAACCAATATGCTAAGAAATATGAAATCTGTAGATAGGTTATTTTTTTCAAAATTTTACTTTGCTGTTCTCACTTAGTGCTCCAATGATACCCGTAGTTGAAAAATGTAAGGCTTTGGCTCCAGGAACATCATATAACTTTTTAAATGTAATTGTGCAGCAGAATAGACTTCTTGTTTCCACCCTGAAGAGCTGAAATAGTTGGAAGGCCACAGCCCCAAGCCTCCTACCATTCATTCACTTGCACAAACATTTCTGATTTTTGTAAATGAAGACTGTGTAATGTGACTGAGAATTTTCTGAATTATTATTCCAGACAAATGCTTCAAATGATATTTTTTCACCAGTGTTGCTTCAGTATATCTACAAAGCTTTAAATAAATATTACAAAGGAGTGCTACGACTGTGTTGAGCATCTCTGAATTAGGCATATTGATTTTATTCTATAGCTTGTGACCAAGACCTAACCAAATACCAAGTGAAAGCACAGGGCATTAGTCTGGTTTTCAGTAAGGCTACCTTGTGCAGTTTGGGCAAAGCAGAAAAGTTCAGTCCCTGGTCTAAAAAGCCCACTGAGATCATGCATAGCAGGCATCCCGTGTGGCAGGCATGCGAGTTGCTCTGCTGCTCCATTGCCCCATGACGCCCGTGTATGGTCATTGCTGAAGCCTGTTAGGAAGGAAAGGAGAGAGGCATTTTCTGAATGATGGCCACAGACATCATCGTATGCCAGGTTGTAGCATGGCTGCATCATGTTACCAAAGTCCTAGAATTTAAGAAGAATAAAAAACTGTTCAAAGTCATATTTGTTTCCCTCTTTTCAGCACATTGCTTCCATTGTGAAGTATCACGTTGACTTGACTGCAGTATATGGTTGAAACTACCTAATAGTCAGGTTATTTGGTTGTTTTTTTAGATCTGAAATAATTTTGTTTAAATTTGGCTTAAAACTTAGGTACAGTTTCAGAAAGTTAGGAGACTGCCACAGAGGAGACCTGTTCTCCAGAATGGCAAAACTTTGGAGCATCATGGAAATGATGCGGTCAGCGGAGTGAGCAAATGTGTGGATGACCTATAGCTGATGTGTGTGCTGATGGCTGGATATCTGGACAAATTTTTACAGCAATCCATATATGAATTACAGTGCAGTGCAGTATTTTAGGAGCTAAATGTTCCCTAAAGTAAAGAAATTCAAAAGGCATTTGAAACTAGATCCGATGAAAAGTTTAGGCTTAGACTTAAAGCAAGTCTGAGGCAGAATCTATGTCAAGTCCAAAATAACGATCTTTTACTAGAGACCCCAAGTGCTGAAAGTACCTGGCCATATATAATGTGCACAGTATCTTTCAAATAGCATGACATTTCCTTAACTTTGGAAGTTCACTCTCAGCATTTGACAAGTCCCCAGCTTAAGTGGTTCAGCATCTAAGTCTCACTGGGGCATAGAACTAGGTATTGCTTCACTTATCAGTACAGTGGGAGTTCTCAGGTGGTATCTAATATATTCTGACAGGATCAAGGTCCTCACTTAGAGGGCTGCAAAGGTGAAGAAAGCACACTGCATCTGCTCTGCTGAAACTGTCACTGTGCAGTCAAGTACATGACTCCCGGGGCTAGAGAGAACAAGCACATAAGACACATTATAGTCTGATAGTTAAAACAATCATGCCAGAAAGAAGAAGCTTTAGATACAGTTCCCAGTTGAGACCTTTTATTCTGTCTAATTACTCTGTAACTATTTAAAGCAAAATTCAGAAAATTCAGCACATGGACCAAAACACATGTTCCTGCCCTGTAAAGTAAATGCTCTAACCACTGAAGTGCAGGATTAACACCGATGCTTAAATATCCTCAGCTAAGGAATTTATTAAACTCAGGCCGTTCGTCCTGTAGGATGTACTTTAACCATTAGATTGTTAACATTTTTATTGTTATTTTCAGGAGAATTCTGTTCCCCAGGACTTGGAATTATCTCTAAGCACAGGGAGACCCTACCTTGATCTACAATTTAGACAGTTGTAAGTGGATCCCTGCTCAAAATAATGGGTAGTTTGCTTTCCACTTAAGGGTATAGACTTTTCATTTGTAACCCATGTCCCAGGAGAGTTTTCTCCTCCAGGAGATTTGAGCCTAAAAGAGAAAGGGTGTAGACTTCTGCAATGTCTATTTTTTTAAGAAATCTAAAATCTAGAATCCTCTGCCAGATCTTGTGTAAATGATTAAGTAGCTGGGGTAGCTAAATAACTCAAATGTTTGGGGCACAGGCCTTATTGCAAGCGGAAGTGAATAGACCAAGCCGTCATGGAAAGGGCTAAGGACTCAAAAAAAATCACCATTTAGGGAAGTGCTTGCTCCTTGCTTTTTTTTGGTCTGGCAGCCAGGTTATCCTGTAATCATGGGAACATGGTGTGGTGGCCCTTTGTATGCGGTTTATCTCATTTATTTCTATTCAGAATGTGTTGTCAGTTGTCAAAGAGTCAGCTCAAATGGTTGGACAGCAAGAAAAGAAACCAAGGATAAGTGAAGGACCCAGGGTTGTGGGTGGAAAAAAAGTCATTTTTGTAAATTAGTCTTTGAAAAATGGACAGAAAAATCTCATGGAGAGCCCAGGAGGAGCAAAGGAACTGAAAACAAACAAACAAACAAACAAAACAGGTGATAGAGGAGATCTAGCTCCAAATAGCAAGCTTTTTTCCAATTCCAATAGATGAAATGTATTGTCTGCCATTTTAACATGTACTGCCATTCAGAGTGGGAATTTGGGGTAAATATTTGAATGTTAGAAAGATCATATTTCATCCATATACAAGTGGAATACTGTTAGCATTTCTCAGATTTTGAATGGGATTTCTATGTTCTGTATTTAAGATATTTAGTCAGCGTATTGTACCTTTGATTGCAAAACAGGACTCTAGACTAATCTGTGAGCACAGGTGCCTGATCTTTTAAGTACTTATGTACTTAAAATAACAAAGCAAATCATCTTATCTTTTTTTTTTTATTTATCATTTGATAAGCCATCTTTTAAAAATCCTCTTTCTTTGTTTGTGGTATGAAAATAACACTTTTATAGAGCTGGCAAAATATTCAACTTTTAGTTATTACACAGAAGAAATGGTGTGTTGGATTTTTGCAATGGTTCACATTAGCTTGCCCTGTAGGCCTCAGTAACATATTTTTGGTTATAATTTGGATTTCTAGTAATAGTTAGTTCTTCAGACTACAAAAAAGAGAAGTATGAGTCTGCAGCCAATGGCCACAAAAGGCTCAGCTCTGATGTAATATAAAGACCGAAAATAAGACTGTGGGAAAAGCCTTGCTTGCATTAGTTCAGATCTATGAGGTAAGGTATGTCCCATGGCTGTTTTCTGAACTGTATGTGTAATGAAAAAAATAATTTTCTTATTGCAGGATCTCTAATTTTTTGAATTGACTTAACTTGGAATTTAGGGGATGGGGGAGAGGAATGGGAGGAAGCTCTGTATCCACATACCTAATTAGAAGACAGTGAGAACAAGCTACGTCATTAATGTTCAAAATGTCTGATGCTGGTAAGAGCTGACTGCTTCTTATCCACCAGTGACTTTTAATTTGAAGCTATGTGGACTGCAAAAACAATCGATGGGCTTTTAAAGGCCTATTTAATGGTGGAAATGAAAGATAAAGAAGACAGAGTATGAACTACATGCACAGAGGAAGATTACTATGATAATGTTCTGTGTCAGCCTACTAAATATTTGGTGCCTAAATGATATGCACACCTCTGAATTAATATCTAAGCAGTCTATTATCAAACCTAGAAATGTGAATCCAAATAGACAAAGTTTTGAATAGGAAGTTATCTAAGTTTTCTAATAGGAAATAGTGATGGTAGTCCTTGGTTTTACAACCTCTTTCTGGCGGGAGGATTAGATGCTTAGCATTGGGTGGCAGGAAGATGGCTTTGTCAGATCAGATTTCAGATTTGCAGAACTTTTGTGCGCTGGCATACCTGTGATGTGGCCTTCAGAGACAGAACACTTTGCAGAAAACAATCCCAGAGTTTTGTGGCTGGAGAAAGGAAAAGTTTAACCCTTTAAGTCAGGGACTGGGACATTCATCTAAGAAGGCAATTTGTATATATTCCACTTCCAAGAGAAACACATGCTTTTTACGCGAAATTCTAAATAGACAAAAAATAAAAAATAGTAGGAACCTTCATGTCTCCTTAACTGGGTTATCTTCTTCATTAGTCTATAAAATTACTCTTCCAGCCTTATTCTAGTGCCTCTTGAATCTTTTCTTGAAAAATAGGACTGGAAAACTGTTCTGGATGTGGAAGTATTATAGGAAAGGGTGTATCGTCACCTCTGACTGAGCTGAATGTATGTGTTAAATAACTCAAATCCATAACTGTATATAGAGGTCAGGCCTTTCCTGATCAAGCACAGGCAGTTTTGGTAGGCTGAGTTACACATACTGGACCAAAGAAATTGACTAGTAAATTATGGAGATGTCTCAAAAGATTGATGAATGTTGTGGATTCCTCTCTAAG